AACGTTAATAAATTAATTAATATTATTTTAGATCAAACCAAATATTTAGTTTGTAATTACTAGTTTATAAATATATTGTTATAATCATGTTGAACAATTTTTTAAAATTCATATCAAATTATTAAATATGTTGCTAAACACATACTAAATACTAAAAATAAATAATACAATTTTATTTTTTTCGAATCTCTTGTTTTTAGATTTTTGTTTTTTTATCACCAACGAAATACGTCATTTATCTTTCTTGATTATTAGATGAATAATTCCAATAATTTCTTTCCCATTTTCAATTATATGCTATCTGAAATGAATTGACACATCACTGATAGAAGATGGAATTGTCAGATACTTTTTCACAGTGGTGGATGGGCCAGTAAAGATTTTTGTTAAACAGATATATTTAACAATAATTCTAAGGTGATTTTTGGAAAAATCTAAAATCAATTTAAGTGATTCCCGATCAAGTACTTGGAAAGTAATTTCTCGAAGTATTTTTTTATAAAGAAAAAAGTAATAAGAAATTAATTTTAAAAAGGGTTATTGTTAAATTTCGAATTTTTGTTTCACTTTCATATTAAAAATTTATATATATTTTTTAATTTGTCGTCCTCTAATTTTATTTATCTTTAATTTGGTTTATTTCTTCAAATTTTTTATCCCTAAAATTTTGTAAAATCTCTCTAAAATTTTAACATCTATTTCTAGGTTTATTTCTCCCTTGAAAAGTTTTATCTCTCACCCTCTAAAATTTCTCTCTCTAACATTATTTTCCTCCATGACTTTTTTCTCATTTTAAAAATTTTGTCAAATTATCTCCTTCAAAATCACTTTTAATCATATAAAAATCACTTCAAAAGTGTATAACTAAATATCAAAATAATTAAATAAAAGTTCCTTTCACAAAATAAATTATTTAATCTCCTTACTAAATCACTCGTCCTAAAATCATTTCCAGGTCCTTATAAGTTTCCAACATCAGCTGACTAATATAAAAAATAGAAAAATAAAAATAAAATAAAAAAATCTCTGTGTTGAGAAGTTTGTGTGAAAGCCCAAAATATTCAGAAAAATATAGTTTCTGTGTAGTTGGGCGGGCCCAACATGAATCTGATCTTGAAGCTCGTAAATGCTGGCCCAGTGGTGGAGCTACGGCCCATTATCGCATTTTGAGATATTTAATGAAAAATCGTGTTATATAGCTATCATGTATTTTTGGATGCAACGTCCCAATTTTCTAAGTTAAATTTTGACAAACATTTTCCATCTTTTACTTTCATATTCAGTGTTTTAAATTTAATATCAATACATAATTCAATATAATATGTTTTTTATTTGAAGGTTTTAACTAAAAAGTGTCTATTTGCAAATTTGAATTGGTTAAAGTCTTGAAGTAATTTGAGTATCACTCGACGGTTAACACATTTACAAGTTTAAATCTCTACACTGTAATTGTACTTTTTTTTTTTGGTATTAGGATTTAATAGAGTGGAATCTTTATTCCGATGGCAGGACTTTAGGGATCAAATATTTCAGGGAAGGTTCGTGATTTATTTTAAAAAATATGTATGCATTAATGAAAAGCTAAGATGGGATTTGAAAATGAGATAATAACAAACTTTTGACGAGAAATTTGGGGGGCGTGGAAAGACCTGAGATATTGAGTTGTGGGGCCATGGCAGCGACATTTTGAAATTGGGAAAAGTAATCTTACCTTATTGCCCCGTCGACAATGAAAGGGTATTGAAAAGTTTTGCTTCCAATCGGGAAGCAACGTCTCATTACCCTTCTACTCTTCGAGGTCTTTTGTTTGATAGGAATCTATCTTCTTATATGGGAGCTATCCGAGTAATTTTATATGTCCTCCTCTAATATGAGTTTCTAAGATTTTTGTGTTGACGGTATCTTTTTCTAATGATTTTGTCCCTCGTCTTTTTGTTCTATAATATTTTTCTATCAATAATATTTATTTATCATTTATTTAATTTTATTTTAAAAATAAATGTATGCACTAATTCATTGATAAATGTCTAAATGTAATTTTATTTATATGCTACATTTAGAAATAAAATAAACATCGATGGTATAATATCTTAATTTGTTTTTAATTCAAATCTAGGGTACAGTCTTTCGTTTATTTTACTCTTTCAATAGTCACCAAACATAAATGTAGCATACATTTATGTTAAATATATATTAAAAATATATATTAAATTAATAAAAGTACAATTTTTATGTGAATTAAAATAATATTAAATTCAACATATAAATTATATGACGACTGGTAAGGGTATTTTTTGAACATTACATAAATTTACAATATTCCCACGGATAAATCCTACAAAACATAGGTGGTTATAAAAAATGAGATTCCAAGCATCTGAAGATGTCGGACATCTACATACTCAAAAAACAACTTAAAAAACAAACGGTTCCTAAGGACATTCTAGAAATAATACTTAGCTATTTTTTAGTGATAATTGATATCTGTCTCTGATTAGGAAGTCATGAGTTCGGATCCTCTACCTCCATTTCTGATTAGAAGGTCATGAGTTCGAATCATTTGCCTCCCTTATTGCACTAAAAAATATATTAATGTCTAATGGAGAGGATTCGAACTCATCACCATTGTTATATTTGTTGAATAAAATTTAGGTCACAGTTAAATCCAACAAATCTAACTTGTCTCAAAACGAAGAGGTTATCTTCTTTCACCTTTGGTCAAAATCGTCCAAACACATGAATTATATATATATATAGAAAGAAAGTTGCTTGATGTCAACTTTTATTTTATTTTTAATCAAATTCGAATTTTTTAATATCACCTGTATTTTTTTTATGAAAGATTCTTAATTTGCATAATTTGTAATCGTAACTCGTTATTTAATTACCAAACAGTTTATAGAATATAATAAATAATTTTAATTATTTGCCATTTTTATTGTTAACCCCGTTGAACTTGATTAAAAAAAAAAAGATAAAGAAATTTCGTTCCACATTTAAAAATAGTTGGAAAAAAGAAACAAAGTAAATAGAGAAAAAAGACAGACAGCTATAAAGGAAACATAAAGATCTGGTCGCCGTTTGACAAAATCGGGGCCATGCATCTGATGCCCATTAGATGCCACGTGGCAACATGCAGAACTAGGGACCACCGTAATTAAATGCTCTTGTCTGCACGCCGTCTCCGCCCTCCCCGGCTGGCCCATCCCCGAAGTACTCCAAATTCCAGAAGCGTTTTTTTCTTTTTTCCTTTTTTAACTTTTTGTTTGGACGGATCTGCCCTTCCCCTACTCCAGGCGTGCTTGGCACGTGAACCGCCGGATCACGGGTTCGGTGCGCCCATACCCATTACTACCCATGCCATTTTAAAAAATAATAATAATAAAATGTCAAACGTGGGCCCCACTGCCACGTGGTTTTTGGAGTTTTTCATAGACCACCCGTTTTTTAAAAAGTTGCAAAGTGTGAGTATTAAATCCTAATGTATTTTTGAAGGGGAATTTTTAGTATTTTAAAAATTTCCAAAATCATTTTTATGATCTAACTGGATACAATGGAAATTTTGAAAAATATTTTCTAACGAGCTAAAAACTTTTTTTTCTTTTTTATCATTATAAAGGTTAACCAAATATGCTTTTATTAAGAAAGTATTTATCCTTCAAAATTATAAAGTTTGAAAATAACATATAAATATTTTTTAAAAAATTAAAAATTAGGAGAAGCCCTCTAAAACAGGTGGAATGGAAACTAACATAATTTTGCTTTTGTTTCTATTAACATACTTATAATAAAAATGCTTATGTTTGAAGAAATTTGATTATTTTCTTGCATTTCACTCTATTGACAAAATAAACAATAAGAAGATAGAGAAAGGGTAGTTTTTGGAAAAAATAATTTATAAGATGGGCTTAAATGGCAACTATGAAAAAACGACATTCTGCCCAACCAAACAACCGCGTTCATCCAATCCCTTTCCTTTTCCGTATCAAATTTCCAACCTTCCCAACTTCAATTTTGAATGTATGGTCTATTATTTTTAATCCCTTCAAAGATTTAAAAATTCACCATATTTATACAACATTATATATAGATTTGTATATAAATATGTATCTTGGGTTAAATTCACCATATTTATATAACTTTTAATTTTGTATATGATAAAATTTTAACTTTTAAAAGCGATAAAAATAAATTTTGAAAGTTAAGATATTTTAGAATTTAGGAATCTATTAAATACAAAATTGAAAATTTAAATATCCTTTTGAATTTTTCTTAAATACCCTTCAAAAACATAGAGAACTAAATCATGAATAAAAAAATTTGTAGGTCAAATATTTTTCCTAGAAGCATCCTAAACATACATATAATGTTTAATGGCATTTTTTGTACGCTCAATAGATACTTTCATCTCAAATTCATAATATTCGGTTCCAACATTAGAGCTTTTTAGATCCAATTACTTAGAGTAACATGGTTCAATTGTTTGATTCAAAGATTCAAAAATACTTGAGAATGTAAAATAAAACATTTATTAAATATTTTTGTATAGTTTAAAAGTGTATAATCAATGTAAATAAAATAAAACATCAATGGTGGAATTTCACCATATCATTTGTCAACTATGTAAAAACACGTCAATCTAAATATAGTTCAACGAGGGTTGTAAGAAAAAAACTCTCTAAAAACACACCTTAAAAAATAATAATATGTTTTAATAAAATACATATAATATAAAAAGAAAAAGCTGAAAGAAGGTTTAAATTAAAATTAAAATTAGCAAATTATTAAATGGAAATTAAATTAGCAAATTATTAAATGGAAATTAAGTCCTTAGAGCCTGTAAAAGCAAAAAGTAAGCCTACTATTCAATTACAACGAAAAGGTCCACCCTCTCCTTTTCTTTCACAACGACATCATTGTAAGAACACAACAGGCGGCAAAAATGAAATTTTTTATTTAAAAGTGGAGGAAGAAAAAAAGGGCTGAAAGCAGCAATAATGACAAAAACAAGGCGGTTACCAATGGCGGGTTCCACGAGCCTCGTGTTCCCCTGTTTCTGCCCTTCTCCTTCTCCGATTCTGAAAATTCAATTTCTCTGAAACACACAGAAGAGAGAGAAGAAGACCCAGCGGACAAATTTGCCCAGATCTCCACCTTCACGAATCCCCACGTTTCTGGTTCTCTTCTCTTCTCTTTCTATATTCAAAATCGAATTCTCTCTCTGATTATTGTGATTTTTTTATGTTGGGGAACAATTAGAAATTGGTTTGCTACTTTTATTTTCAGAATTGGGATTCTGTAGACTGTAATAAATCCAAAAACCCCATTCTCTCTCTTTCTCTGTGTGTGTCTCTGATTCTGTGCTCCTCGCATGGACGGCTATTACGCGTTCTCATCGATCTCAACGGTCAGTGGTTCTTCCTCCTTGACTTGGTGCACGATTTCCCTCTCTTTCTCTTGGGTTTCTTTTAACTATTGGTTTCGTAATTGGAGATTTGATGTAATGTGTGTAACTCGGAGCTCGGCAACGGCATTACCCGTTGGAGTCAGTTTTTTGTATCATCTGATTCAGTACTTTGTTCTCTCTCTCTCTCGCATCCGTTTTATTAATTCTTCCGCATTCTATTTTTGTTCAATCTGATTTGATATGCGGGTTTGTTCTGAAATTTGCTTTTCTTGTCCAGTAGATCATTTCTGGATCTGGAGTGGTTGATGTTGCTAATGATGCTTCTACCTGTATTTCATCTCCATCGACGATGATTTCGAGGGGTATGCTGGTGTTGTGTAGTGGTATTGGCCTAGGGTTTTGCTCTAGGGTTTTTCTGTGGTTTCTGTTACCATGGGCTGTGGAGGATCCAAGGTCGACGAGCTTCAATTGGTAAATCTTTGCAGAGAGCGGAAGGAGTTGATCAAAGCCGCGTCTCGACACCGTTACGCTCTTGCCGCAGCTCACGTTACGTATTTTCAGTCCCTCAAAGACATTGGCGAAGCCATACGCAAATTTGTCGACGAAGAGATCGTGATCTCTGGTGTCGATTCATCATCATCCCATGGCTCTCCCGTCCTTACTCTGCCCTCAGATGAAGGAAAGGGGAAGAGGAAGAAACCGAAATCGGGTGAGAAACACGGAAACTCATCATCTTCGACCTCTATTTCACATTCCGTTTCGATTTCGCATGAGCACTCTCCTCAAGAGGACGAGATCGAAGGTTCTCACTTGCATATATCTTCTGGATCGGAGACTGAATCTCTTCACAACTCTTCGGGTCATATTCATATAGAGGATAGCCCAGAAGAAGATGGAGGTTATAGTCATAGCCATCCTCCTTATGCTTACCCACCAAGTGATTGGAATCCTCCGGTGAATACATACGCCTACTATATGCAGAGGTCAACCACTCCAGCGACGACTGTAACGTATGATGGGCCGGAAACACATACAGCTTCAGATGGGCCGTGGCCTGATCCGTCCTACAGTTATTCGGCATATCCCCAGTATGGAAATGGAGGTTTCTTTGGGTATTCAATGGGTTCACCACCGAATTATAACCCATATAATCAGCAACCGAGCCGCCCTGCTCCTCCACCGCCTCCGCCTTCTCCCCCGAAGGTCTCTACTTGGGATTTTATCAATGTTTTTGAGGGCTATGATTATGGTTACCCGGATTATAATTCGCAGAATAGATATGGGTATGGTTCTATTCAGAGCAGTCCTGATTCCAATGAAGTGAGGGAGAGGGAAGGAATACCTGAGTTGGAAGATGAAACAGAGCCCGAAACTCACGAGAGGAAGAAATTGAATGTGGAAACAGTGGATAAAAATATGAATTCAGGGGAGGGGACTTCAAATTTTGTTCCACCACGAAGTAGCGAGGACAGTTCGAATTCAGTGCCATTACAAAATAGTGGTAGCTCTGTGTTATCTAAAGAACAGGGAATAAATAACAGTCCCGATACAATTGTGTCGAAGAAGTTGGAAGAGGAGGAGCCTGTGGAGAAGAAAGAGGTGAGTTTCGAGATTGAGGAGACTTCGACGTTGGATATCGAATCTTCTAAGAAAAGTAATTTAGCCACATTCATTGCCCATGGTACAAGGGACATTCAGGAAGTTGTTAATGAAATTAAGGATGAATTTGAAGCTGCTTCTAGCTACGGGAAAGAGGTTGCAATGTTGCTTGAAGTGGGGAGTTTGCCTTATCGGTCTAAGATCACTGTACTTAAAGGTTGGGACTTAAGAACTGCTCTTCCAACTTTTTCTTCTTCAGATTATATCCTCAAAACATCTCTCTCTCTCATCTTTTAAAACGAACACTTTCCATAATTAATCTGCTAAATGCGCTTTTGTGGCCTCTTGATGTACCTAATAATGTAAGTCCAGTATTTATGGCGCATCACAATCTTGTGAGCTGGGTTGCACACAACTTGAACATTTTCTATTAAAGAAAAAGGAAAAAGAGATTAAAAAAAACTGAAATTAAGAGATTAAAAAAAACTGAAATTATCTTCATTTATGCATATATGAATATAATGTAATGCAGAGATGCTGCAACTAAAGAAAAAACAGTATGATAGCAAGTATTGTTATTTATGGCCTTTGGTATTCTAATCTTGTTCTTTGGGCTTACAACAAGTCAAAAGCTGTGAGTTTGAATCTTTTTGCTTGATTTGGGATTTGTCTGAAGTTGAGAAGTTTGATTCCAGAGTAACCTTGGGACTGAACTTCAAGAAGCTGCGCCAGACGCATTTGTAAAATATTATGGTTTTCTAAATACTTATAAGTTGTATAGTATTTATTTCCCACTGCTTTTATATTGGCGAATATTTGTTTTCCATTTCCTGATGTTCTTAAAATATGGTATACATAGAGAGGAGAAATTAGTTTGTGGTGTTATAAAGATCATGTTATTTTGCAGTTGTTCTTTCTCGGATCCTGTATTTGGTGGCCCCTTCCGCAGCATCCTCTCAGCCGCCACTGGTTTGGTTGGACTCTAAAACAGTAAAAATGGCAAAAGCGTACTCTGGGTCTGGCAGTTCTGGCAATGAGTTTAACTTGAAATCTGGGAATCTTTCAACTACGCTGGAGAAGCTTTATGCATGGGAGAAGAAACTGTACAAGGAAGTTAAGGTATTGATGCATATAAGCTTTGTGCTAAACTTTCTTCTTGATTATGGAGTAGATTTGAGAAGCTTTATTAGGGCAGTTGTTCTAGTGATCCTTGCCAATCGACTATAGTTTTGTTGATTCTTCATGCCTTTTAGTATGATGTTCTAAGCTTGGTGTAGGCTAGTTTTATAGCTTTTAGTTGTGGTGTTTGGATATAAATAACTTAGACTGGACTTCTTTTTTATTTTTGCTAGGATGAAGAAAAGTTACGTGTTATTTATGAAAAAATGTGCAAGAAGTTGAAAAGATTAGACGACCGTGGAGCTGATTCCAACAAAATTGATGCTACTCATGCCTCCATTAGAAAATTATCAACCAAGATCGACATCTGTATCAAAGCCGCTGATGCCATATCAAGCAGGATACATAAGTTACGGGATGAAGAATTGCAGCCTCAATTAACTGAACTGATTCACGGGTATTTAATTACTTCAGTTCTTGATTGCTCAATACTTTTTAAGTTTATCGTTGTAGTGATTTGTTAAAATAGATTTTATATCGTCATCTTTGGTCTTCATTGTTATTAAAGCCTCTTTGTTACATGCAGGTGGATGAAAATGTGGAGGTCTATTCTAAAATGCCACCAGAAACAATTTCAGGCAGTCATGGAGAGCAAGATTCGCTCGTTAAAAGCAAGAACTGGTTCTCGAAGAGATGAGAGTTTGAAAGCTACTCTGGATCTTGAAATGGAACTTCTCAATTGGTGCACAAGATTTAACAATTGGATTCGCACCCAAAAAGCTTACGTTGAATCCTTAAATGGATGGCTCCGACGATGCCTTAACAATGAACCTGAAGAAACCGCCGATGGGGTCGCTCCTTTTTCACCAGGTCGAATGGGAGCCCCGCCAATTTTCATAATTTGCAACGATTGGCACCAAGCTATGCTTGAAATCTCAGAAGATAAAGTGGTAGGCGCCATTCATGGTTTTGCTTTAAACTTGCATGAGTTATGGGAAAGGCAAGACGAGGAACAACGTCAGAGAATCAAAGCCAATTTTGTCTATAAGGATTTTGAAGAACACCTTAGAGCCTTAAAAATGGAGAGGATGATAGCACGTGACCAAGACGACGCATCGCAAAAAACTGCCCTGACTAAAGTTCCTTCTGAAAGTGGAGTTTCACCACCGGATGATCTGAAAGTTAATTTGGGTTCATTGAGGAAGAAGTTAGATGACGAGAGAGCAAAACACAAGGATGCCATCAAACTGGTTCATAACGCTGCTTCGAATAGTATACAGGCCGGCTTGGTTCCCATTTTCGAGGCTTTGGAAAAATTTAGTTCTGAGGTCATGAAGGCTCATGAACAAGTCAGGCTTTAAAACTCATGAAAGGCTAGTTCCTGAAATACAATTTGGCTCCAAGTATCCTCGTCGGATTCACTTACAGGTACATGGTCTACCACATTTTGCTCCGAATCGAGTTGCATGGGACTGGACTATAGCAGGCCGACTGCAATCGGGGGATACGCGACGACATACAACACTTGCACATCCTGAAAATCCTGGTATGAATTTATTTCAAATTCCCCTCCCATTCATGTACATATACAAGCCAATGAGATCACCTGATGTGCATGTATATTACTAGGCTGGCAGAAGGAAGCCATGGAAATGAAAAATGAAGAGAGAGAAGGTAGAAGTGAGAGTTTTGCAGAAGGAAGTTGGATTATAATTTTGAAGAGAAGTTAGATTATAGAGGTGTGTGGGATTTAATGATGGTGGTTGTTGTTGTGATTGATGCTTTGAAGAGCTGTGAAGATGGTGCTGAGGAGCTGAAAATTTGTTTTTGGTTGATTAATTTAGCAGCTGCATAACAGGAATGTTGTATAGAAATTCATTTATTGGAGAATTTGTTGTACAAGTTTACATTACATTAGGTCCTAGAATGTCCAGATGGAAGAACTAACCCAAATTTTGATCAGAAAAAACTAGAGGGCTGTTATTAGATTTTCTTTTTATTTTGTCTGGATCCAAGAACCAAATTTTTTACTTAATTGAAGGTGCTAGATTATGCTTATTTATTATTCTTTTTTTTTTATCTGTATTAGTTTACGTACCCTTCGACTAATTTCATAAGACAATCATTTGATCTTACAATATTTAGTATCGAGAGGCATGCCACCATCACATGAGGTTTGTTATGCCTAAAAAATTATTGATAATTAAAACGTTTTTGGTATTACAATTCAACGATTGAAACATGAGACTAAGATTAAAATCGATAAAGGGAGGTAATTAATGTTTTCTTTTAATTTTTTCTTCTTTTTTCTCTAAAGAAAGCTAGGTTGCCACGTGATTAATGACTAGTGAGCCATTGATAAAATTCGACACATGTTTCAACCATCAATAGGCTATTAAGCTTTCATATTAAAAATTAAAGAGGAAGAATAATTACAATTCTAGCGTAATTTATTTAAAGTTGCAAAAATACATCAATACAGTAGATAAGCCATTAATGCAGCCAAAATAAGTTATTAACGAATTTTTTTACTTAAAAATAAAAAATGTAGTCAATAAATGATATAATTGAAATTAGTAATAGAGTAAGATTATACTTAATCACGATTTATGTTTACAAACAGAACTATATAAAGCATGTAAGAGGTTATTTGGATAAAATAACTATACAGGTAAATATCTAGATTAATCACTGATTATTATTTTTGATTACGAGATTCGAATTCATGACCTTTTGAAATAAATATCAACTACAACTAAGTTAAATTCATAATTATTATCATTTAAGTTGGTTTATTGGTTCTAAAAAAATTATATATTCGTAATTATTTTAAAAAATTGACATATTTTTAAAAATCACATATTTGTGTATATAAATTAAATTATAAATGTATGCAGGTGCGGGTCCATGGACCATGTTTGTCTGAATTGGAGGGACATATGTAAATACGTACAAAAGCACATGTGAAGCACGTGGTTGCAAACTGCCTTATCCACATCCACGTAGCAGCGTACGGCCTCTCCCAACAGAGCCCCCGATTCTCTCTCTGCTCTCTACACTCAAATTCACTGAGACGAGCTCCGATCAGCGGCAATGGCCATGGCTATGGCGTCCTCCATTTCTCTCTGCTTCTTCACTCTTTTTGCTTTACATTCTTCATTCCTAATCCTCGCACATTCAGTCGCCGGAGCCTCCGAGCCCGAGGAGTTCGTCGTCGCTTTGGATCATTCTAATTTCACTGACTTCGTTAGCAAACTCGACTTCCTTATCGTCTCCTTCTACACTCCCAGGTATACTGATTCTTCTTCTGCTTAATTGATTTGCGTTTCTTTTCTCATTAATTTGTGTTCCTTGCTTGTTTCTTCTGCTATTTGTGTTTCTCTCCTAACATGAAGCATGCGAACCATTGGTTTCTTAATTTCTTTCTCCGTTTTCTTCGTATCTTGTTCGTTTTCCTTGTATTTTTTGGTAGATCTGTCCAGTTACCAAGTATCCGACCTTCTTTTTGTTTCCGCCTATTAGTTGTGGCGGTCAATTAAACTTTCACCGATTCTGCTATTGATAGTTATGTCCTCTCATTTCAGATGTGGACATTGTAAGAAGCTGGCACCGGAGGTGACGATTTATGTTCTTAATATCAGTAATTTGTAATCTGATTTTCGGATTTTGGACTGATTTTGACTCTCGAGGGTTTGGGTACCTTATCTGCTAGCTGACTGGGTTATTATGTATTGAAACATTTTGTAGTATGAGAAGTCTGCGAATATCCTCAGTAAACACAATCCTCCTTTGACTTTAGCAAAAGTTAACATTTTAGATGAAGCAAATACGGGGCTTGCTGGATCCAAAGGCGTCATTTCTATGAAGATTGTGAGAGATGGAGGTAAGGTTGTTCAAGAGTACAAGGGCCCTGAGGTTGCAGATGGTATTGTTGAATATGTGAAGAGACAGTATGGGCCTGCCTCTGTTGAAATAAACACTCTGGAGGCTGCCCAAAAGTTCATATCTGACAAGAAGATTGGTATTGTGAGTTTTGTATTTTCCTTTTCTGATTGCTTTCCTACTTGGTGAATCCGCCGGAATTTTTATGGTTTCTTTACTTGCAGGTTGGCATATTCCCTCAATTTTCTGGGGAGGAGTTTGACAACTATACCATCGTAGCCAAGAAATTGCGTCCTACGGAGGAGTTTTTTCATACTTCAGATGCCAAACTTCTTCCTCGTGGCGAATCGTCTGTCACTGGTCCCTTAGTGAGGCTGTTCAAGCCATTCGATGAGCTTTTTGTTGATACCCAGGTAATGGAGACTTCTCCATGTCTCTGGTTTCTTGGAAACCAATATTCCAACATCTCGCAATATGCTGCAAACTGGGATTCTAATGGAAGCTACATTTTCAGGATTTTGACGTGGATGCTCTTGAGAAATTTGTTGAAAAATCAATTGTACCAACTGTAACTGTCCTGGATGGCGACCCTAACAATCAGCGTCTAGTTAACAATTTCATGCTTAATGCCAATTCGAAGGTCAGAAGAAAAATATGAACTATTTCTTGGTTCATGTAGACGATTTAGTACAAGTAGAAAGATATGGAAGTTTTGATTGGATAAGTGAACCGGTTCTTTTTCTAAAATGGTCATCACCATTTGGAGAATATTCTAAAGTTCTTTTCTCATGGGTTATCTAATTAAAATTTCACTTCCAAATTTGTAGGTCATGTTGTTCATAAATTTTAGCAGTGAGATTGCAGCTTCCTTTAAATACAAGTACCATGAACTTGCTAAGCTGTACAAAGGAGATAGCTTCAGTTTTCTAATGGTTGATATTGATGCTGGTTCTCATGCTCTTAAGGTTCTTATTATCATTGTAACTTTGAAGTTTATTTATTCTGTATATGTTTTATTTGTTTGGTTATTCCCATTTAACATGTATGTTCAATAACTTTAATGTTCTTTGTTCTATTGTTTTGGGTAAATTATAGCAATTTGGAGTTAAGGATGATCAGTTACCTGCTATCCTCATACTGAATGTTAGAGTAAAGTATCTAAAGACCAATGTGGAACCTGATCAAATTTCTTCTTGGTTGAAGAAATATAAGGTGATACCTCTCCCTCAGTTGAAGTGTTTCGTTTCACTTCGGTTTTGAAGGCTAATTAATTCATATTTTGCTCTGATATTTTCTGGTGATTGAGTTCCATTATTGCAGAACGGGGAATTGCAACCATTCATAAAATCTGAACCTATACCAGAGCACAATGATGAACCCGTGAAAGTAGTGGTAGCTCACACATTTAATGACACAGTCATCAACTCGGGGAAGAATGGTATGTATGAACACATTCATTGGAAGATATGTGAATTAAAAAGGCTATTTAATGCTGTATTTTGATTCTAAATCACAGCAATTTAGCAATAACAAAATTGGTATTTAAATTGCTCGTAAATTGGTAAACTTGACTTCGTTGGAAATGTCATCTGTCGGTTCTGGTTAATGCTCTGTAGACAACATCCAAATGGAAGTGTTTATAGAGTGAAAGCAAGGATTGTTGAGAATTAGCGTATGAAATATAACCTATGAAATTGACTGAGATGACCATAAAATATAGAATTTGGTCATTACCTTGCTTTGTTATTCAACTTGTATTTATTAGTTGCATGACTACAATTTGCTGCAGTTCTGCTTGAGCTTTGTGCTCCTGTGAGTAAAAACTGCAAAGAGTTTGCTCCAACTCTGAATGGTGTTGCCATCTCATATAAAAGCGACCCGAATGTCGTAATTGCTACATTCGTAAGATACATTACGCTTTTTATTTTACTAAAAAAATTATTGTTGATTTGAAATACCTATGAGGATGCAATTGATTTGTAAATGCCTTCATTCAGAATCCTTTAGAAAATGACTTGGTACATGGTGAGTTTGAAATCTGGGGATTTCCCTCAGTTTACTTCAAGTCAGCTACTGGAAACATATTGCCATATGAAGGGTATGACACCAAGGAAGACATCACAGATTTCATCGAAAAGAATAGGTCGAAAGCTGATGATAAACATAACGATTCAAATTTGAAGGATGAGCTCTGAGGACGGTAAACTCTGCACGCTCACATTTTCTTTGGTATGTTTTTTTTTTTTTTTTAATGTCACAATAGTTATCAGAGTTCCTATTACAAATTTCTTTCCATTTTGTACAGAATGTTGAGTGCTTCGGAGGGAGCAGTTTTCATGTGATGCCTTCGCCTTCTCAGTTGAGCATGGAGATTTTTTCGGTCAGTTTATTTTCAGGCTTTGCTCCAATCAATAAGATGACTTGTTCGAACTTGAGCTGTTATTATAATAATAATTTCGATATGTTCAACATGGCAACCTCAATTTTTGTCCTCCGGAATTGCTCTTTTTCTAGAAGAAATGGAATGAAGTTGTGATACGAAGAGATATAGCCATTTAAAATGGGCAATTTTAAAAAATAGTCAAACAACTCCCCATTTTCAATAATAGTTATGTTAAAAACAGTAAAATCTCCTACGAAATTACCCACCTTGAAATGATTTTAAAATTAATATACTATTTCTCCTTTTTTAAAGGAGAATCCTACCTATGTTTTAGATTTTAATTTAATTCAAATGTTTTTATAATCTACCTATATTTTCTAATTCAAAATTTTCTTAACCAATTTTTAATAGGATTATACTAACAAAAATATTCATTAAATTAAAATCTAAAACAAAAATTTAAACAAGAAAATCATTATAAAAACTCATACTACGTAAACAATAAACAAAATAAGGTGAATGAAGGAACAAATATGGCATAAGTGAGCGGAGGAATAAATACGGTCGAAGGTGAACGGATGAACAAATACGATCGAAGGTGAACGGAGGAAAACAAAAACGGCGAAGGTGAACGGCGGAATAAATACGACCAAGATGAACGGCAGAAGAAAATAATTTGAAGAAATAAGGTGTATTTTTACTAAAATATAAAACAATCTACTAAAATATAAAACACTTTACCTCAAACCAAAAAATCAAACTCATCGTATAAGCCTCTCTCTCAAAGCGTTGCGTTTCCCATCGTTGTTCCTTAATTCCGACAAGTTCCATGATTCCTTGATTCCGTCAGTTTATTGCGATCCCTAACAAGATTTATCTCCCTCTCTTGATTTTTGTTTCCCATTGCCTAACAAGATTTATCTCCGATGTGATGTATCCTCCAATTTGGTTAGTATCTAGGAGAGATAAGGGAAATTAGATATTTTGTTTTTGAAAATAATAACCAAACAGAAAGGATACCCAATGTAAAAAACAAACCCGTAAAAATAGTTAAAAAATACTTTACAAATGGACATTTTTTATTATCAATGATTATTCGGCCATTCTTCAGAATAAATTGACACCTGCTATAAATTCTAAGTTCTAATTTGGACTGGTTCTAATTTCGAACGAGCCCATTTAATTTGGACTCATTCTAATTCCGAATGAGCCCAATTTTTCATATCGGCCCAAGAGGCTCAAAATTAAGTGGGTATCTATTAACTTTCTTAGATTTTCTCCTCCAAATCATCCAATATTAGATGGATATCGAAGGAACCAAGCCGGTATAGATTTTTGTTCTCTTTTTTTCTCTCTTTTTTTTTTTGGAAAAAAGAATATTTTAATAATTTTACAATAACAAAAAGTAAAAAGAGGTTGCAAATAAGAATTTTTTGGGAATGGTCAAAAATTGCAATTACCCAACCTATTTGCGCTTTCTCTCTTGTTATATATATATAGACACACATAGCTTCAAAATTTCAAACCAATACGTCTAAAAAAAAAGAAAAAAAGAAAAGAAAAGAAAAGGAAAGGGAAGAGCCTTATCTTTAAAGCTATTGACAATTATAAAAATCTTTTACATTCGTAAAATCAGAGCCATAAATACCAATATCTCATGTGTTGATTTAATTTAAAGTTTCAACCCCATGGAAGATAACAATGTCTTATATTTTGAATTACATTCAGAATCACTCGACCATAAATTGAACTGTTTGCAATACAAGCAAGCAATGCAATACCTGAATATAGGTATAACCAGAGCAAGAGGAAACGCAGAAATCAACACATTTCTCGGAAAATTCACATGCATCGTTTGTGTTCGTTATTTATACACAAGCATCAAGCGGCACGTAGAATGACCCGAAAAAAAAAACAAAAAATAATCTTTCTTTCTAAAGCCATACTGATTGTGATTGATATGTACAGGAGGATGTAGTAAACTGGTGCATCAGCCAGGAACAAAATAATCCATCTTCTCCACAGGCAAGTTGAGTTCTGATGTTTCCACCTGTGTCACCCAAAAAGTGTAAAAACCAATACAACAGATCCTCAGACTTGAGCTTCTAAAAGCAAAAGCAGCAATTACCTGTTCAAAAGGAACAAATATAAAAGGCGTGAGACCCCGCTTATGAGAAACTGCAGGCACATCTGGATTGTGAGTTTCATCGTCTCGCCACCTTTCCACTACGCCAAGGATGTCTTCTTCGGGATCTCTAACTTCGCTATTATCCATACCGCTAGTAACGAGCGTCAATAGATCCATTCGGTTATTAGCCCCCGTCGACGTTCCTCTTAGCCTATATGGCAAGCCAGATAAAGCAAAAACAAAACAAAAAATAATAATAATGTCAGCTAATTGTAGTAAGTAGGACACAATTTTAAAAAACCGAACAAGACTAGAACACACCTCAAGCGGATTCTGAGTACAGTAGGACGCAAGCCCGGGTACAAAACGGCTGCTTCAACCTGCAGTGATATGAATATAAATTCTGTATGTAAAAACTGAGAAAGAACGAACAGGTTGCACAAATAGCTAAAGCTTAAGAACCAATTCTCTCCCAATGCAAGCTTCAAAGAGGGTCCATGCACCATATAAACACAATCTACTGGCTAAAATCTGAAAAGAGTTTGTAATCTATGGTCCTCCTTTTGATAGTAATGAAGTGGTTTCTCATTCGAACAAAACATTCCGAAAATAAAACGATTTAGTTTTACCTTATCATCTGACAATGTATAGTGTCCACCAAATATACAGTCTGCTTTCGATGCACGGAAGTTCATGCACTTAGCCACATCCTTAATCTTCTGTGAAGAATTCTACAAGTAGCAGTTGAAAAGGAAATGGCAGCAATTAGAAAGGAACACAAATATTAATTATTTGTAAAGCAAGATAGATGATAGTTTATTAGCACCTTGTAGAGAAACCGCCCAGAAGGGAAAAATCTAATGTAACGGAAGTAGCAAACCTGCAGAGGTCGGGGAAAAGGGAAAAGGGAAAAGGGAAAAGTGCCACAATTTAGCAAAGAAAAAAGAATGGGATAAGAAAAACATTAGTTGGACTATAATTTTTAAAAATAATTGAGAACTACTAGATTGTGATTGATCTTAAAATAATTTCGGTCTTTTCATATCCTCAACCCATAATAAAAGGCCTGTGTGCCCCCGAGAGACGGTCCAGTTGGCAAGGAACTAGGGGTCTTTTGGTCATATGACTTAGAGGTCTCAAGTTCGAACCTTCTTGTGAGCTTAATACCAAAAACCTTTGATGTCTCTCAAGTGCCCAACTACCAGTTCTAAAAAAAAAAAAAGCGCCCATTACACTCACAAATACCCTTAAAGTAGCAGGCTGCAGGTTCACATAACAAAAATTAAATTTCGCTGGATTCACAATTCCCATATGCAGGAACATGTCAATTGGGGGTCAAATAGAATAGCAATTAGAAAAATCACCCTTAGAGCAAATCAATACTTAAACTACATTTATATTTCATAAACGCATGCTCCAACAAGTTATGTCTAGCTAATAAAATTCCTCTAATAAAGGCTTACAACTTAGTAATATTGATTGACAAATTACATCCCCTCCTAAAGAAAGAAAGGGGAAGAAAAAGATCATACCAGGTGAACTGGATTGGTAAGCCTCCACTCTGCAATCCCGGCACGTATATAAGTATTCCTGCTGACATAAAGACCTGAAGTTCATATGAAAAAATCAGATAGCGAGAAATCAGCAGTAAACATATTCCATAGACATCAAATGGGACAAACTCCAGAACAACAACAAAGACCTCTTATCCACAATTTTTCAAAATTTTCAATTCTCAATTTTCAACCCTAACTCTTCAGCTTTTTTGGTGCAGTGGTTTCAAGACTTTCAAGTCCAGCTACATGGTCGTGAGTTTAAATATCGAAGGCATAACTTTTCCATAACTCTTCTACATAGAAAATGTTGCAAGGTCAAGTAATAGTTTCTAATTCCAAATATGTTAAACAAATATTGATTGTTTTTCAGTACATGAAAAATACACAAGTAACAAAATATTGCAAACTGCTGGATCGCCATTTTGTCAGACATTTTCCATGGTACATATCGAATTCTAATTAAATTCAAATTCAATGGTAAAACAGAAATTAGTCAATTTCAAGAAGAAACAAGCCATTTAGGTCACTCATTTCCAAATTTTTGTGGAATTATTGATGTTCACATGGCATCTTAAGGAAGCATGATTATGCTTTCAATCTATGAGGAAAATGGATATTTGCCATCTGAAATACGAAACGATTATCATTTATCAGGTATGAGTCATGTATAATTCATACGAGTAGACCGAAGGAGGTAAATCACATGCTCAAAATCAATCCACAAGAATCCATATATTGCATAGTTCTCATTCTCACCATCGGTGCGGATTCGTGGCCGTAAAAGCCACATTTTTCTCCATGAACCATCATATGTGGACTGCAAAATCTTGTAATTTTCAACCACACCAAAAAGCTGTATAGAAAAGAACCCATGTTAAGTATCATGTTTAATATTTATAAGCTATATGTCAAGATGATTCCATCACTAACCCCACGACAAGTTCACCTGCCAAGCCTTCAAGCAAGCATTGCGCCAGAATACAGGATTACGAATGGTATATCTCCATTTTCGACAAATGCAGGATGCACGTCCCAGGTCATGAGGAGTCATTCTGGCAAAGACCTATTAAAGAAAAATGGAGCTTTATCTATAACTGATTTCGGAAGAAATAAAAAAGTTCGAAATAGGGCATTAATCAACACGAGGACCTTACCTCAAACAGTAATTCATCTGGTAATGAACGATGTATTAACGCTGGATCTACAAATGGCTTCCTACTCGAACTTCCGAACGGCGCAACAGGTCTAACGTTAACCCCGTAAAGATCTGAAATAGAACACCTGAAACAATAAGAACATATAAAAATCCATAATTCAGAAACTAAATTCTACAGGGGAGGGCAAAAAATGTCAAAATCTGGACTGTGGACTGACGAGGATTAGTGCCAAGGGGAAGTACCAAGCCAAGGCCTTTTAGTAATGAAGTACTGAACTGTCTTCAACCGCAAAGCTGATTCAAGTTCAACAGGGACCTTCAACGCAAAATCTGCAACAGAAAAGAAAAGTTGAACCTAGCAGAGTTTAACCCAATTTCAGATATTTGACCTACGAAATTCATCTAACGTTAAAAATATCCCTGACGAAGGTAAATTGTTAGGTCTACAAACTACGATACTCGCTCAAAGCTTGTTAATCTTTGCCCAGAGAAAATATTATGTAAAGAGTTCCTGATAAAAATTAGAACAGCTTATGGATTTCAGTTTTGAGTTCGTATCCAATCCAAGAAAAAGTAAACAGCAGAAATAAGGGAAAAAAAACAAAATCAAGGAGGGCGAAATCTAGAAATTCAACCCGATAAGAACTTGATCGGATTAACATCCCAATACAGAACAGAAAAAAAAAAAAAAAAAAGAATTACCTGAAGCCATGAGCGCGCAATGGAACAATTTTGAGTTTACTGCTCAAATTTCTCGGGAAAATTAAGAGGAAGAAACAGCATGGAGAGATCGGTACCGTTCTTCGACGGTACCAAAACCAAAACCCGACTTGCACAGAATTGGGAATCGGGGTCACATTGAGATTCTGACTCGCATTACCAATCAGAATAGACCACGTGGCCAAGACGTGCCATGTAATTTGACCACACGGTCCGAACCCAAACCATATTCATTCCTAAGTACAATAATTCAATGGGAAGAAAATACATTTCAAGATAAAAGAAAACGAAAAGAAAATTGAATTTTAAATTAACCGTTTCTATCGGTTGCATTTTCGCATGGAAATGAGAATCTCCACCTTCTGAGGAGGGATAAGATACCTCAAACCAATCAAAGTCAAACTAATAATATAAGAAATGAGATTGTGACTTTGTTTTGGTATATTAGCGTCAAACGGTCATCCTATCCATTAGATGAATAGGTACTTTCTCTTTAACGGCCACAATACAGTTATTGAGACAAAATCAACCTCCCACCGTAGAAATGAGATCTTGACTTATGTTTGGGTTCCCTCGATCATCATTTCCTTTCACCTAAACTAGACGAAAAGAGATGAACCTGCCTTTTTCTATTGAAACCCCAAAGTAGAGAGGGAGTTCCATGATAACCTAAACAACTCACTCTTTCTTAACTAGTGAAAGCGACTTGCGTTGGCTTTAATCTCTGGTAATTAATTAATGTTATTAATTAGTTTTTTTTAGTATAACATGTGGGGGTGGGGATCGAACTCACAACTTCTTAGTTGAAAATATAGGTCAATTATCGCTAAGTTACGTTCGATTTGACAATATTATTAATTAGTTAATAACTTTATATATTGTGATTAAAAAATGTTAATTAATTCAAATTCTCATATAACACATAATTGAGAAACAATGTCAATTTGAGAGAGGAAATTAGAGATGCAATAGTAATGATTTGATGACAATACAAAGTTCAATGGAATAGTTTTGTTTAAAGTGAAGTTGAGAAAGGGGTGGAAAAAAGGCTTAGAAAAAATCCACAACTACCCCTTACTTGGGGCATAGTTCATTACCAATTATCCGTGCTAACGATCCATTTACGGTCCTCTTGAAAGTGTTAAGGATCCCACATTAAATAACTACATTCAATAGACGATTCCCTCTTCTTGGTCTGCCCGGTCAAATCAGCTCTTTCCACAGTACCTAAGTAATGAAACAATATCAAATATTTATACCTAACATATTTCAATTGTCAACAGAGTTATCTACCCATGCATATGTACCTCTGGAAATCACTTTATCTACTTCTTTCTATAGAAAAAAAATTAAATTCTTTCATACGCTAATATACGTTTAATCTTTTCACTTTTTATCTCATCTTTCATTGAATAGTTTTTACAGCTCTATTTCTTTTACATTGTTTATTATTTTTTTCCAAAACTTATAAATACTTTTTACCATTTTGTGTATCGAAAATCACTCAAACATAGAAAGCAAAAGATATCTTTTCACCTTTTTTTCCCCTTTTTCCCTCTATATAATGCTCCACCGTTTTAGAGACTTCCCAATTCACTTGATAGTCTATACATGGGAATATTCTTAAACAAGACACTACGAAGGCTGAAAACATGGTAATTCTTTTAGTAACTCAACATTGAAGAGCATATATTATTTTTTTTTCCAAGGAGACAATAACTGATCTAGGGGTTTCAAATGATGGGCAATTTTTTTTTCCTTGATTGGAGCACATATATTTAGGTCAAAGTTAGTTAAACGCATTTGTCTTAGGGCAAGGCAACTTCCATCGCTGAACCAGAGCCGTGAAATCAGATAAGTTCAAGTTCTTCGTTGAGTTATTTGATTGCATGTTTTTCTGTTTATTTTTTCTTGATCAGAACACATTAATGTAACGTTGTTTTATGATGTATTGTTATATTTTTTTCTTGATTGAAAAATAAAAGGTTTTGCATTTTTATTATATTTAATATAACTTTTTTTTAGACATGGAAAAAGAAATAGAAGCAAAGATAAAGACGCTTGAAGAGTATGGGACGGCACGTTCTGATCTCCGAAGATCTGGGAGTATTGTTAAAAAAAATATATATTAATTTCATCCCAAAATGCCATAAATTCTGTTACAGAGTTCACGGGTCAAATGAACAATGTGGTCAAAGCCCTTGAGGCCCTGACTAACAGCATCAATGACATTCTGGGATGAAATTAATGTATTCCTTAATAGTACTCCCAGATCAATAAGATCAGAGCCCTCTCATTCGAGCTCCTAGAGAAGCTCTGGACAAATTTTCAGCAGTATTGTGGATTTCTTCGAGCCTCTTTACTCTTTTTTCTATTCCTTTTCGTACGTCTATAAACAAAATTATATTAAATATAATAAAAAGTAAAAAAAATATAACAATGTGAGAACTCACTAGTCTTCTTCTCAAGAATTTCTAGATCTTTTGTAACTTTCTCCATCTGAAAAAAAAATATATATATATATAACATTCGTACTTTGACCTAAATGTTTAAGGAGAAAAATACGCAAATGCGCTTAACCTTATATTCCCTTTTTTTCAATGCCAACTGGAAGGACCTTTTACAAACCCTTGCATTTTACTTGGGTTAGTGTCTCATTTGTTACACCTTTGTGTTATCTAATTAAAAGTTTTGGTTTCCTACTAATTTGAGAGAGTGCAGTGATCGTTGTGAGTCGATTCATGAGTAATATACATAGAGCTTTCGCGTCGCAGCTACGGAACTTTGCGTTGTTCAGGGATGGAAGGCGTTTTCAAAATGAGTGGAGAATCCCCTTGAATTGCTGATGTATTTATTATTCAATTACTCAATCCACTTGCTATTAAGAAGTGGGTTAAGAGCTTTATATAGGTATTTGGGCCTTTAACAGAATGTTAACTTGAGAGATAAAATAGTATTGAAAGTTTGAACATAAATATATTTTATCTACTACAAGCATTTACATATAACAATCTATGGAATAGAAATAGTTTTGTTATCCTTATTTTAAGTGAATCTTGAGAAAGGGATGGAAAAAAGTAGGCTTGGGAAAAGACCAATAAGGCAATAATTGTCGTACCTGGACAAAAAAAAATGTTGCCCTTTCAGCCATGCTTCTTGAAATACACACAATCCAAATGACCCCAATTTATGCTTCCTCTTTTTTGCTCTCTGCTCTCCTTTTTCTTCTGAGTCTTTGGCTAATGCTCCTTTTCTAGAGAAGGGAAAAAAAAGGAAGAGCTTTGGACTGTTTCTTCTTGATGTTGTTTGGAATCTATCTCGTGACGTCGGGGAATTAAGACGCCTTCGGATAGACCAATCAACTAGTATTCCTCATCACCACCATAGTCACCATATACATGACCATACTCTTCCTCGTTTTCGATATCATAATACTCGTTACCATAAGTTTCTGTGGGATCTTCATGTTCTGTGTCAACGTCCTCTTCTAACACCGCATGGGGATCATTGTCTTCGAGGTCCCTACAATGGCTTTGATCAAATGAACTATTCTCTTCGCAGTTCGAGGCTCCCTGCTTTTTGTTTGAACAAGATACAGGCTGCACATAAATTATTAGGCAGTTATAAGTAACCGTGTGACTGCGTACTAATCGAATTGATCACGATTTAGAAGGGTTRAAGTTATGTGTCCTTTTTTTCCACCTTTTCTTCGGGCATGGTTATTTACCAATTACCTGTACTAACAATCCATTTACAGTCACCTTGGAACGTGTGAATCCTAGGCTGAACTTAACCATACCAGAACATGAAAGAAGAAACAAATTGATAAACATACCATGTCAGAGAAGAGTTCATCCAACACATCGAAGTTGACTTTCGAACTAAGCCTCTGCAGAGAAAGGTTGTGGGATATAAGCCAATTACTAAATCGATGAAACACGGTCAAACAATCTAAGTTAGCATGCACAAAAACCATAAATTATGGAAATAAATCCCCACCCTCACCCCCACCCCCACCCCAAAACAATCAGGTGGATTACCTTAAATCTTAAAAAAGTTATTTGAGAAAAATAATAACAGAAAAGTGTTGGTCCAAGTGAATTGGAAAGTTATACACCTGAGGAATGTGAAGTWAAGGACTTGTTTGGTAACGTTTCCRTTTCTTGTTTCTCATTTCCAATTTTCTTTAAAAAAAATTTAAGCATTGTGCAACTAATTTTGTTTTTTGTTTCTCTTTTTTAGAAATATACACGAAATTTTGGAAACAACCCAAACAAGTTTTTTTTTTTTGTTTCCATTACCGATTTGTTCCAAAATATAAATGAAAAGATTGTTGTATCATACTCGAATTCATGGATGTTGGAGCCATGAATCATTTTTCTTTATTAAAAATGAAGAAAAATAAACAAAAAACAATATCGTTACCAATCAGACCCTAAGAAACTTAAACATTAAAATTGAGAATGGAACAGATTCAATGCGATAAATCACAATGTATTCATCAGTTTTTCCGCTGATATACCTTCTTGGTTAGCATTTCACGTGTAGCTTCTGTATCAGCTTCAGCAGGGGTATTGGTTGCAGCTTCCTTTTTTCTTTGCCTCTGCTTTCCAACAGTGTGAGAAAACATAAATCATACATTAAAATKCAAGTGAACTTCCTATCCAATATATTTTTCTTGGATAAGAAACTTCTTTTCTACAGTAGTTAAATACCTTCTTTGACTTTTTAACCACATGTGCAGCTCCAGCAACATCGCGACCTTGTTTCTTAGCTGCTTGTTCCTGAAACCATGAATAGCATTTCTTTGGAAATTAAATTATGACTGAAATGCAAAACACCTTTTTTAAATGYAACCATGAGTGAAGACTTTCTTTGAAACAATCAAAATGTTATTGTGAAGGTTAAGAAGCCTTTAACCTGAAGGTAGTCTTTGTTAATTTTCTCCCAAATAATCTTTTTATAACGTGCCTCCTTCTCATTATTTAGATAAAGATTCACCTGTAATTTGAGAAAAACTACAGTTAGAAAACTATGCCAACAAAAACAGAAATTCAAGAAACCAAAGGCTAAAGCAATTTAGTAGGGTACCTCACTTTCAAGAATATCGCCAATGTCCTCTGACTCGTCATCGGATGGAGAACTTTTATCCTTATRTTTGAAAAACATACTGAATAATGATGCATCTTTAGTCCTCATCTGTAAAGTATAAACAACAGCAACATTTACCAATATAAAAATTCAATCGGTTACAAATAGTTGGACAATGAAAGAAAAGACCACCATGACCATGAAAGTTATATATCTATAGAAGTTATGGACATTAATAGTCTAGTAATACAAGAAAACCTTTGGAAATTACAACTTCCAATTTCTCATTATCATCCCATGTTGCCTTCTCAAAGTAAGAGTGTGTTTGGGAATATGGTAGAATAAGTGATTTTGAAAAATAGATTTAAGTATAATTTATTTTTCAAAACCACCGTCAAAATGATACATTACCTTACAAATCAAATTAAAGTATTTTAAACTTTCCTAAAATCAATTTTTTAATTTGTCAAATGTTCTATTGATATCAATGAAAAGGGAAATGATTTTAGCCACTCCTAACACACCCTAAAAATGGGAAATGATTTTAGCCACTCCTAACACACCCTAAAAATTAAGTACAACAAAACACGTACATCATCTAAAAAAAATGAAAAAACAGACACAGTTGGTAAAAGATACAGTAACAATGACTATTGACTACGAKCTTCTAAATTCAACACTAATGCTAATACCTCGTCAACATTTTTTGAGCAGCAACTTTAGAGAATATAAGAGAATTATACTGACTATCAGTTTCCGAAATCTCCTTCTCAAAATTAAATTTGTTATTTCAATGTACAAATGCAACGTACAGAACAAGACCACAGCCTAACAGCCAGATTGTTTAATTCACTCGTTACAGAAAAGCAAACAACCGCAGAAGAATCGGCTTCACCAGAAACACTACGCATCAAATGCATTCGTTCATTATTGGCTAACCTACATAATTGAACCTAAATATGTTCCAATTACTGAGAAAGGAAAATAAAATAAGCAGAAAGATCCCAAAACAATCTATCCAAAGTTTATATGTATCATTATAGATCATAAACATATTATGATTACATGATAAGATACTTACGATATAGATCAACAGCCAAAATCTGAAGAATGCGATCTACTCACTCGCCGTGATGAAGAAAAAGCTCCCGGTGAGAGAAAATAAAMACTGGTTTCGCCGGCCAGTGATGGAACGAACTCAACGAAGTAAAAAATATTGAAAAGAAATTGGAATCTCGMCGACCATCGGTTACCTTGCCTTGCCGCCTAAAACAAAAGCATTTTAGCTTATATATCGTGTGGGGGAGAAGGGAGAAAAATGGGCTGGACCTTCATCTCTGAGATGGCCCAGTAATAGAGGCTCGAGGTAAATGAAACGGCCCATTGGATTTTATTTCCGAAAATGAACCGGCCCATTCTTATTGGTGGGCTTTACAAACTCGGAACACCTCCATCACAAATTCGGGCCTCTTAGTATCAATATTTCACAAATTACTTTACTATAAATAGTTAGAGCTTCTAGATCTCTTACCCCTGTGTTTTACTAAAACAAATTCTTTTATGGGTGATTTTACAATTTTACGCTTTATTTATTCATTTATATTTCTAACAAGTTCTTTTTTAATAAAAATATTATACTAACTTTTATTAGTTAATAATAATGTGATTTTATTATATAACATTACAATTTTTATTTAATTTTTCTTTGTTATTATTAATTAGTATAAAAAATTGCTAAAATATAATTCATCGTTATTAAATATTTAAAACAAAATAATAATATTTTATTAATAAGAGTCCTTCTAATAAAAAATATATTAAAAGCTGAGTGCCAGCCAATTAGTTATTTATAACTTATAAGCCTTGTCTACATAATTTTTAATTTTATAGGTTTGAATTTCATTGGGATACTTCAACTTTTATTTTATATTTTTAGTTATAAATCATACATTTTGAGTCTATAGTCAAATTTGCAAAGATCGCCCTTAATCAGTGAGAAAAAACTCGTACTTGGTTGTTTGGTTTAATTTAATTGGTTAGCTTATATTTTACCTGACATTCAATGARTAATTAAGTAGAAAAAACTGAACCACAAAAATAGTAAATTGAAATACTCTATAGATTGTTAATTTTTTTAACCATCGTGACTTTGGCCCATTAGTCTACAGGATCTAAGATAAAAGGGTAAAGAATTTCAAGATAATGAGTTCAAATCATGGTAGTCACACCTTACCCATCTCTGAAAAAAGAAAAAAGATAATAAGATATTTCGAGCTCCTAAAATTGAAKGGAGGTTCGGACTTTGTTACATAAATAAGTATGTCTTACCAAAGTAACCCYTCTAATTATATGGAAGGGTCTGCTCAAAAATCATTTTGATCCTAAATCTTATATGTATAATCGTACAAATGATCAAACTCTGATATGCGAAGTTCAGATCGGTCATATCGAAGTACTCATACCTGCAAAACAAAGTCAGTACTATGACGCTCTAATCTATACACAATCCAACCTGTATTCGAGAGAATATATTTCGCTATATGAGAGGCGAGGCACTCTATTTATAAAAGCGAGCTCCCGATAACCTAGRAATGAATTATCTYGTAGAAAAATATGTTTTCCATCTATGCTCMTTTTGTTATTCTTTAACATCGACTTGTAGCTATCGTAGGTCAGTTAGACTGTATAAGACGTAGTAACTCGGATGCACAATATCAAGTAGATGAAACTTAACCTTGTCGAATCCTCTTCAATCAGTCATTTTAATTGCCATGGTAGCTTATTCCAAATGTTTCACTGATAAACAACCCCAACAATATATTTTGGTACTTTTTTTGTAATTTAGCCTTAGATTTATATTTATAGCAAGTTTTCTTTCTACAATTTGTTAAACTACCAAATTCCGTCTTCCATTGAATTTAGACTTAATAACAAGCAAAAAGTCAATATTTTCCAACGAATTGAGACTTGAAATAAACAATACGTGCCAATACATTCCAAGGCATTAGCATATAATAATTGATACAATATATAAAATCACAATATGTGGTGTGCACGATCATCCCCATGGAAAACAACCCCTATAAAAAACCAGAGAACCCATAGCCATAGCCAAAAAAATGGCGATTTCTTCGGCCAGGCCCAAGATCAGAACAAGGCCCACCAACAACAACAAGCAATCCAATAAATCAGTTAACGAACAAACAAAGCGCCTCTCTCATTACGGCACCGTTTTGCTAAAACTAATCGTGTTTCGGATCCCGGCCGCCGCCGTTTTCCTGATACTGCTCGTGTTCCTGTGGTCGTCTTCAACCACCGTAATTTCCGGAAGCTTCGTTCACCTCTGCGTTTCCTCCCGAAAGCTCACTAATAATCTCTATTGCCTCTCCGCCGGCGAGCGCCCCAATTTTGAAATTCCCAATAATATCCGACCAATAAATTCCACTTCCGTTAATGTTGAAGTTTCTGAAGCTAATTCGGAGCCGATGCCTTCCGATTCCGATGAGATTGGGAAGGCGATGGAGGCGGTTGAAGAGCAATTACGGCGGCAGCGGTCATGGATGTGGGTGTCGCCGGGGAATAATAATAATGTGAAGGGGACGGCGGCGGAGTGCGGCGGAAGAGGGATCTACGTGTATGAAGCTCCGGCGAAGTTTAACAGAGATTTGGTGGCGCAGTGCGGGGAGATGGTGACGTGGATGGATCTGTGCAGATATTTGAGTAACGAGGGATTGGGAGAGCCGATTCCGGAGCTTGGGAAAGGATGGCATCATACTCATCAGTACGCGCTCGAGCCCATATTCCATTCCAGGTAAGCTATAAAAAAATTATATATAATATATATTTCTTTCATTTTTGTTCTTATTGGTCAGTAATTTAATAGTTTAATATGATATTAGTTTTTTTATTTATGGTTTAATCAATCTAAATTATAATTAATAGCTAACATGAGCATAATCTACATGTTTTATACACAATTTTAGAGGTTGAGATATCATTTTTTAATTAGGAAACAAGTTTGTGCAAGACTAATTAATTGATTAAGTTTTGTTTTTTTAAACTATTATTGTTTTCTAATGGTTGAAGATATTGTAATTGGTTGGATTTATACATTTTTGTCATGTTTGAGTTTTTTGAGTTTTTTTTAAGGAAAAAACTTTTAAAGTTAAAAATAAAACTTACTCCTTAAACACCATTAAATATTTGACCCTTCATTATATTTATATTAGAGTTAAGTTTTTTCTTCTTTTTTTTTTTTTAATATTTTGATTTTGTGGACTAAGTTCTTTTATTAAGTTTGAAGTATATTTATTGTTCGTTTTTTATATTTTTATATGACAAAGTATTTTTTGTTAGTGGTGCATTTTATTGGTCGACTCATAAAGTAAATATTATTTTGAAGTACCAATTATCTCACTAAAAAATTTAACTTTTTCTCAAAATTTAACCTACTAATTGTTTTAGAATAAGTTTATCCATCAACACTCATCTTCCTTGACTGGTATTAAAAGATTAACAACTCTTTATTTTTTAAAAATATAAAAAATATATATTATTTTATAATTTCAATTATTTTATTTGTCAAATATTTAAATGATGGTAGAGATGAGTGCTATACATGTAGGGTATTATTCATCTTTTTATATCTTGACCTTCTATTTCTTGAGTTGAGGAAATTAGAAAAAGAAAAAAATAATAACACGAATTCTCCTTTATTGGGATTCCAGAGTTATGAAGCATCCTTGTAGGGTTTACAAGCAAGAGGAAGCCAAGCTTTTCTACGTGCCATACTACGGCGGACTAGACATTCTCCGATGGCACTTCAAGAACGTATCCAACGCCGTCAAGGACTCGCTGGGCTCAGAACTCGTACAGTGGCTCGCCACTCAAAACCCGTGGCTCAAAAACTCCGGCCAAGATCACGTCTTCGTTTTGGGCAAAATCTCATGGGATTTCCGAAGAAACGCCGCCAATAATAATCTCTCATGGGGAACCAATTTTCTAGATCTCCCCCAATTGCAAAACTCAATCAAACTCTTAATCGAGCGACAACCCTGGCACGAAAACGACATCGGAATCCCCCATCCGACATTCTTCCACCCCCACTCCGACGACGACGTTTTCGCATGGCAATCGAAAGCTCTAAAATCGGAGAGAAAATATCTCGTCGGTTTCGCCGGAGCCGCCCGTCCCGACGCGCCGGACAATGTAAGGTCAATTATAATCGACCAATGCGCCACGTCACCACCGGGGCTCTGCCGGCACGTGGACTGCACGTGCGGAGACTGCGAGCGACCGGAGGCGGTGGTGAAGCTGTTTTTGGAGTCGGAATTTTGCCTGCAGCCTCCCGGAGACAGCCCGACGAGGAAATCGGTGTTCGATTCGCTGGTTTCGGGTTGTATTCCGGTGTTTTTCGACCCGTTTACGGCGTATTATCAGTACCCGTGGCATCTGCCGGAGGATCATAGCAAGTACTCGGTGATGATTGATAAGAAGGAGTTGGAGAGGAGCAGTGGATCGGAAAATGTGGTGAGGAAATTGATGGGGATTTCTCCACGTGAAAAAGATGAAATGAGAAGCTATATTGTTTATGAACTGATGCCTGGGTTGGTTTATGGAGATTCCAATAATGAGATGGAGAGGTTTCAAGATGCTTATGATATAGCCATTAATAATTTGCTTCAAAGGGTTTCAACGTTGTAATTAATGGTTGTAGTTTGTTAGGTTTTATTTTTCCCCTTGAAGAAAGGGAGAGATTAGAACACATATTTTGTGAGTTTTTCGGTACAATAATAGGTAGGGGTGAGGGCAACTTTTTTATTAATAATATATTGGAGATATATGCCTTAATCAAACCTAATCAATTGAGGTTTGATTACTAGTTATTAATATTCTCCATAGCAATGTATAGTTGTATTTTATATATATTGTGTATTTAAAAGACAAAAATTTAGAAAACATATATTTAATGAAAGGGGTAGATTTTAAAAAATTTATTTGAGTTGCTATTTCAAAGTCAAACAACGTGGTAAAACATGAATGTTAATAGTTTGAGAACTACTTTTTCAACATCAATCAAACATATAGTACAAATTTGGTAGGAAAAAAAAGTATAGACATAATGTAATAATTTGATGGTAATAAAATTAGTTAGCCAATAATCTCTATTATTAGCCTATGGATTAAGGGTTGGCACGCGTGTTATCATAATATACTTATTGATATCAAGTAATCATGCTAAAGTAAAATTAAATAATTAAAAAATGTCACATCAATTAATAAAATTCTTATATTTGTTTTTAAATAAAAGGTATTAGTAATATAAATAAAAAATAATTAAAATATGAAATAATTAATTAACAAATGATGGGACTCATTGATAGATGAAATAGAAATGGTAAAAATGTAAAGAATGAGAATGAGATCGAAGAAGTTAGAGAAAAGAGAAATGGAATTAGTTGTGACATAATAAGGTTTTAGAAACATCCCACAAATTAATTTCATTATTATAATTTAGTAAATGAAAAATTTGATTAACTGGAAAAAAAGTGGGGGAAAAGAAAAGTAGCTTACCCAATACGCAGACGCGTAGTTCACACGCATTCGGTGGCCTTTAAAAGGGTCAGTTCGCGCTCTTTTAGCGCAACGAACTTCATCATCCATCTGCTTCAGTCGAAAGAACTCACTACCAGAGCACTGCTCGCTCCTCCCTCTATTCTTCAACCATATGCTTCATCAATTTTCCCTATGGTTTTCAATTATCATCACGATTCACGATTAGGGTTGGCTTTCCAATTCATCATCCATCTCTGCTTCTGCCTTTACCAGAACCAATTTCAATTTTCATCCACCCGCTTCTGTCAAAACCAGTACCATTGCTCGCGACCCTCTCCCCCTTCATCCATCTGCTTAGGGTTTCCAATTCATGCTCGAATCCAGACTAGGGTTTTGCCCTCTGGCCTTAGCAGGTGGACGCGCGGCAACTTATCTTCGAAATCGGCACTACATTGGCCAAACACACTCGCCTAACCAACGATTTCATTGTCAAATCCAACCGGGTAACTTTTCTACCTTGAGTTTTTCTTACTACATTTTTACGAAGAACGAAGGCGTTTTTATGGGGTTTCGTTTCAATTTCGGGGTGAAAAATTTTCGGCGCAGTCTATATATTGCTAATTATCACCAATTAGGAATGCGAGGAGCGGAGACAGCTTTTGTTCATTCTCATGCGTTACTTTAATAATTCTGGTTATGTTTCATAGATTGTTTTAAAAAATTACACAAAGAAGTTTTCAGTTCCTCTGTTGTATTTTGTATTTCATACATAAGAACTCTGTTCAGGAGATTTTGTTAATTAATTATAATGAAATAATGGATCAGTTCCTGCGTGTTGGTCTTATTATTGATAAAACTCCAAGTCTCTTTCTGTTTAGGGCCAATTCAAGAACCACCATGCTATGTTGTTCTGCTCTACAATTTCTTTTTGCCTGTAAATGGTTTTTTTTTTTCACAGTTGTTTTATGTGCTACTACTTACTTGATATTTCATCTTTCTATTGCAGCAAGTCATAGATGCTTTAGCGTGCTTGGAACAGTCTTATAGTTATGCTTGAGTTGCTGCAAGGATGTCAGAATCAGCTAAAATATTGGTGAGTTCTTGTAAGCCTCTAAGGAAATCTAGAATTAATGGTCGGTGTGAGACTTCTATTAGCTATATGTGCCAGTAACATTTTGCGAGTCATGGTCCCAGAACTACTTTTTGAGAACAAGTATTTAAAGGTAACAAATGATTTATTTTGATGAAATGTATATTCATCACATGGCGACTACTCTCCCCACTATACCCAGGTTCATCTTTATGTTTACTATGCAATTTATCCATTTTTTTTAAATGATCTTTTAAAATTATTTTCACTCAAAAGGTCAAAATACTAGAGACAGTGGTCGGACGTAAATATCATTATAATGCTTGATATTGGATGCAACGCCTTGGTATTGGAGATGTTTAATACATCTTTCTCCACTTTGAGGTCAATACCCCTTATCGGTATGTTTAATAAATTTTACAAAATTTCCTTTTATGCCAATTTTTTAAATTCTCTTTTTTGTAAATTATGTTCTAAATTCAAGGCAACGACCCCTAGGACTAGTTTGAGTTTGTCTTTTAAGTTTTCACTTGTGATACCCTTCCCACGGTAGCTACAACGCACATGAATATTTACTACTGAAAATTGAAGCTCATATTGATCATTTAAGACATAAAACGGCAAATGAAAGGTGAGCTACCACTTGTCCTTCACGTTTTTGAGATATCAGATGGTTTGGTAGACAACTTATTTTGGCCTTTAGTCAAATCAATACTGTTAAGACCACATACATGCTATGTGAAACATTTTCTTTTATTTTATGCAACTAATGGCAAATTTAAGTGTTATATTCTTGCGTCTTTTGTAAATAATGCCTTAGACCAATGCCCTTGTAATGCTAGACATTTGGACAGGAAAAGTGAAGAAGCTTCATGATTTTTGTTTGATTTGATCCAAGTAAGAGTTCATATAATTTTCATTCTCTGTTACGGTATAAGTCTGACCATGGTCTACTTCTACTTTTCTTAGTGGAACTCTGGAATGTACTATTATCAAAGGTTGGACTTCTATGATTGATGTTAGCCAGTTGACAAATATATATAATTATCAGAGAGAGGTGGTGGGTGGAAATACACAAATAAGATTGATTTCTGCATGGAGGTATGCAACAATATCGCAACATACTATACTTCCTTAGTTCAATTCTTAAACCCTTTGTTCTTATAGGGTAAGACCTACAGAAGTATTTGGATTTAACTTCACAGAAGTAAGTGTCGGGTTGGTGTTTTCATGTAACCATTCAATCTTTTACTGGTATCTATTGGAGTTTAATTGTGTTTTGACTTTCGACATTTCTATTATGATGATATGATTTTTTGGATCATTGCACATTCTTGTACTTACTACTGCCTTTTTCCTAGTTCCCTCTTTCCAGTCCAGAAATGGATCATCTGACGTGGAAGAAAATATACATATATTTACAAAGCTATATATGGCAGGAAAGGAAATATAGTCCTCATCTTTGGACTGGACAGACAGGTAACTTGTGTTGTTATTAAAATAAATTGTTAGTGGTACTGCTTGAGAAGATAGGAGCACAATACCACCTTACCTCATACTCCTCTGTCCTATGTTACAATGAGGATAAATGAAGGAAAATACTAAATACTAATAAGATGTGGCACAAAAAAATGTACCTTGAATAATTTTGATTGTCCACAGTTTGCTATCATCAGTTCAATGTCATCTTCTAGCTCCTCGATAACAATTAGTTGAGGACAGAATGGCCTTGGCTGAATTGTTTTCATATATCCTCTGTTTTACACATTGACATTTATTTGTCATGTTCCGTTCTTGTGGAGACAGTCTCCTAGCCACATAGAGTATATAAACTTAGACTTCGATTACAGCATTTGTCTCTTTTTCATTATTTCAATGAAAAGTTTCGTTACAAAAAAAGAGAGAGAGGAAGTTTTTCTGTTCTGGGCTGCAAACTTTTCAAACTCATGAACCAGATGCCTCTTTAAGGGATTTTTCTTCTTTCAATTGCCTTCTTTCTTCACCCTGAACCTTTCTTTCACCATTTTCCTTCTTGCACCCGATTACTTTCTCTACGTGCAGTTTTTTGATTATGCAAGTTTCACGCTTCATTCGAGCGACACCTCTTGTCCCCTCTTTCTCGAGGGATCAATAAACTTCTTGCTTTGAAATGCATTTGAAAATGCTTGTTTGGCACTATTGATTTAGAACATTGAAGTTGATGATAATGGAACTGAGTGCGTAATATCATGAGTTGGCTAGTGGTCAATAAAAACTTAGGGCTTATGAGAAATGGGTTCAATTCAAATCATGGTGGCCACCTACGGAAGATTTATACCCTACGAGTTACCTTAGCAACCAAATATAGTAGGATCGGGTAGTTGTCTTGTAACATTAGTGGAGGTGCGTTAAAGCTATCCCGAACACTCGAATATAAAAAAATGTAACTGAATGCGTGGAAATTGGTTGAGATGTACATGAAAATGGCTATAATCATGCTGCAAAGCTGAAAAATGTCAATCATTTGCCTTGAAAACTTGCAGAATATAGTAAATAACGATATTTTGTAACAAATTGCAACTCATTTGCTTCAACTTGTGATGATACTACACAAAAATTCTAGTATTTTCTGTGGTCTGCAGATGAATCTTTCTATTTAATCTTATCTCACACACCTTTCCATGGAAAAAAAATTTATCATCTTGTAGGTGAGAACTGACCCTTGCCGGTGCAAATTTCCGCATTACTGCCATTCTCAGAGATAAATGAAAAGGCTTAACCGTAGAATTGGTAGCAGTTTTCATTTTTCTTTATTTATCCATCATATTATTGCATATGGTTCTGTAATCTAAGATTTTATAGAGTTGTCTTGGTAAAAAATAAAAATAAAAATCAGAGTATATTTTTGTTATTTTGTTGGATATCATTCTAATGTGAAGAAAGTAATGTGAAGAAAGTAATCTCATAGAATTTATTTAACTCAGCTAGTTAAAGGCCTTTATTTTCAACTATAAATTTGAATCTCCACTATAATGTGTTGTATTGTACTAAAAAAAATTATTTAATATATTTTTAGTGATGGTTTGCAAAATTCTGTGAAGAATGGTGGGATTTTTTTTTACTTATTTTTAAAATATTACTTCTATAAAACTCTCTTTGAAGAGATGATCTAGTCATGTGGTGATGCATGTTGTCTCTGGATGACATGTAGCTAAGTGTTCTTTTTCCCCTAAATTAAGAGACCACCACCCATGCTTGGGCCACATAGTGAAACAAACAATTAAAAAAATTGTTTTTGTTTTTAAGAAAGCATATTTTAAATTAAATTTATTAAAAAATCTAACAAAATCTTAAAAAATCCAATTAAAAAAAGTTGATTTAACTAATTAAACATTTAAAGTTTAAACTGAATCTAATTTTAAAAAGTTAGATCATATGCTACCTTGGATTCTTGGCTTTCCAACCTTTGCTTGTTCCATGGCATTCATCGCAATCCAATAAAGTGTCGAGTCATTGATTTCTAACTCACCAAATTATTCACGACTTGTTCCCCTCACCAATTGAAATTTGGTTTTAGAAATTTTTTAGAACTATTTCTAATGATTGGAGACCAAAATTGTTACTTTTTGAAACTCATGAATTAAATAAAAACCTATTTTAAAATTCAGGACTTGTATTTTACCACATTTTATATTATACCTAAATTATCTTTTTCCTTACCTATTTTTATTTTTAATTTTATTTCATCTCATGTTACTCTTAAGCGCTGCATTTGTATCAAATTTTAAAAAAAGTTACTAAGACTATATAAATATATCTAAATATATGTTACTCAAACCACTATAAACTTTTTTCATTCTTCTCTATGCTCTATAGTTATATTAAATTTTTTTCATCAAATCTTACCATAGACAAAAGGTATTTTTTTCCATCAAATTTTAATATGATGAGCAAAAGTGAGGTTCATCTCTCCAATGTGGATTCTACCTCTCTAAATAAACTTAGAAATCTCATCTTGTACCTAAAATAATTAGGTTCTTCCTCTCATTAGTGGTTTTGATTATCTTATTTCTGTGATTAGTGTTAAAAAACGAGGTTCTTCCTCTCATCAGTGTTTTTATTTATTTATTTTATACATTGTTGTTTCTTTTTATGGCCATCATTCAATTTATTAATAAGAGGGAAGTACAGAAAAAATATATTTATTTTGTATCTTTCAAAAAATTAAAGAGCGGTCGAACCACATTAATATTACCCCATATATTATACATATTTAACCAGCCCGATTCAGTCTTTTTTCCCCCACATAACAGAACGGCCGGTTTTTAATCAGTCGCTTACCCAATACGACGCGTAGTTCACACGCGCTCCGTGGGCGGTAGTCTAAAGGCAAAACTAGTTCGCGCGCCATTATCAGAATTTCGCTCTCTTCAGTCGAAACCAGACCATTGCTCGCTAGTCCTGCTCCCTCCCTCCCTCCCTCTCTTCATCTTCATCCGTCTGCTTCTGCTTAGGGTTTCCAGTTCATGCTCCCCAATTCCGATTAGGGTTTCGCATTTTCCCCTTCGCAGATGGACGAGTCTTCGCTGCAAGTTATCTTCGACGTCGGCACTAAATTGAGCAAACACAATCGCTCAACCAAGGATTACATCGTCAAATCCCTTCGGGTAATTTTTCTGCCTTGAATTTTCTTTGCATTTCCGTTTCCGAATTTCTCTTCAAGAAGTTTGACTACACTGTCGTTGGGAGTGTTCTCATTTGCTCTCTGTAGACCGAGTAAGACGTCGACTATAGTTTTCGTTCATATATATTCGCTTCTAATATTAAGTTGATACATGATGAAATCGTTGACGAAGATCGAATGGGTTTTCACGGGGTTTAGTTTAAATTTCCCGGCGATAAGTTTTCAGCGTAGTATTTGTTAATTATCTCCAATTAAGAATGTGAGGAGGCAGCTTCTGTTCATACTCTAATGACGAATGTGTCTAGTAGTTAGTTGCAGTCGATTTGCACTTTGGACTCGGACATTCCAGCACGTGTGAGACTTGTAAAACATCACTTTATTTTATTTTATCTCATCTCTATCGCTCAACCTCTCTCTGCATCCACAACTAATAATCTCAATATCAAACACTTGAAAGTGTTCACCTCCAATTTATCATCTACACGTATGGTTAAGTTTGAAAATATTTGCATCGTTAATGATTTTGATCATAAAGCCTTCTGGGGAACATATGTTACTCTAATAACTCTGAAGCTGAGGCACTTAACATGTTCCATAGAGCGTTTTAAAAAATCACACAAAAAATTTGTTAGTTCCTCTGTTGTATTTAATATTTCATACATATATCTATTTTGTTAATTCATTAGAATGAAAATAATTCACCAGTTTCCGTTTGGTCTTATTGATAAAACTCCGAGTCTCCTTTTTTGTTTCTACGGTTTTTTTATTGCCTGTAAATGGTCATTTTATTAAACAGTTGTTTTTTGCGTTGCTTGGTCTTTCATTTTTTCATTGCAGCAAGTCATAGATGCTTTTGCATGCTTGGAACAGTCTTACACTCCAGATGCTACAGGGAAGTCAGAACCGGCTAAAATATTAGAGAGTTCTACAAAGCCTCTAAGGAAATCTATAATTAATGGTCTTCTACGGAATAGAGATAAAGATGTGAGACTTCTATTAGCTATATGTGTTGGTGAACTTTTTCGAGTCATGGCCCCAGAACCACCTTTTGAAGACAAGTATCTAAGGGTAACGAATTACTTCTTGATGAAATGTATATTCATTATATAGCGACAATTGTATAAAAATTCATCTTTATGTTTACTATGATATTTATCCCATCTCTTTATTTCTTTAGGACGTTTTTAAACTTCTTTTGAGCCCTTTTTACGAGCTAGCAGATACAACCAGTCCACTTTTCACTCACAGGGTCAAAATACTAGAGACAGTGGCCCGATGTAAATGTTGTGTGATAATGCTTGACATTGGATGCAACGACTTGGTGTTGGAGATGTTTAATACATTTTTCTCTATTTTGAGGTCAATACTCTTATCTTGAACTTCTCCATCTTTGTACTTGTACTCTATTGTTTAATAAATTTTACAAATTTCCTGTTATGCCAATTTGTTAAACTACTCCTTTTTGTAAATTAAGTTTTAAATCTAAGGGAGGACAACCCTCCAAGTGGTTCGTCTTTTTACAACCTGAGGCATTAAATTTCCCAAATATTATCCTTAATACTTACAATTTTAATACGTCAGTTTTGTTGCGAGTAAAAGTTGGACTGTATATTGGGATATTTATAGTTTTGTAGAGGAAGAACTTAATTTATTCTGCTATCATAAAAAATTCAGAAAGGTTCATTTTACGCTTTGTTGTAAGCCTACACAACATTCCTTTGAGGTAATGGATTCATGTTGGGGAGTGTTCAATATAGTTCCATTTCTAGCCCTCAACTAAAATGTCTATAATATACCTTTTTTCTCGCTCATTCTTTTTATACATGTAAGCTTGAAATGGAGAAAGAAGTATTACTTGACAATATGTATGTTTCAATCGTATGTTAATGTGTTTAGTATAATAATTTCAACCTTTTTGAATTGTTTCATATTTACAATAGCTCTTTCTTTTCCATAGAGACTATCACGAGGATGGTGTGGTAAAAAACATTGTGTCAATAATGACTCATATTCTAAGCGAGGATCCCTCTCTACCGCTTGTAGATGTCGTTTTGCATAATCTTGTAAAGGAGGAAAAGGTCAGAATCATTAATTGATGTTTTTTCCCTACTTTTTGGAGGGATCAGAAATATTATTTATTGAGAAATTTATCAACTAGATAAATTTTTTGGTCATTTTTATTATGCTACCTAGCGATAACAATCTTGTTGAATGATGGTGCATTGTATAGGTAGCCGATTTTGCGAGATATGGAAAATTTCATGTTATTTTATTAATAATAAATCTAATTTTTACAAAAGGCAACCCAAGCATCTTATATATTGGCTAGGTTGAAAGCTAAAGGAAGGAACTACACGAGGAAAATAACCATTAATCTAAGGTTATTAGGAAACTTACGAACTGAACTTAAATCTAACTAAAACATAAAAAGTTAAAAAATAGGATAACAATTATAATACACCCCACATCAGTTATTGTCTTCTGAAAAAAAAAAAACTGCTCCCTCAAGTTCAAAATCACTCCTCACTAGGAGAAGGGTAACAGGTACCTAGATCAGAAATGTTGAGTTTAGCGGACAATTCCAACATGTAGGTGTTATTCCTAAATCTCTTCACAATTTTGAAAAGCCTTGGTGGCACTTGCAAAAAAATTTCTACATCCCTGTATAGCCAAGCAAATAAAGTCGTTAAAGGTGATTTGGTATAAAGTTTTATTACACCTAAAATGTCCACCCAATCCCCTTTACGATATGCTCGTGAAGATTAGTGCTGTATATTAGATTAAAGAATGTTTAGGTGGACCTTTGTCTTCAAATAAATTTTGCTTCTTAAATAAAACATGTTAAGGTAAATACTCTGTAATAAGCGAAATTTTTGACTTGAGGCCTTCCAACCACATTTTCAGATACTCGCAGCAAGGTACGGATGTTCAATTACTTTTTAACCAACTTGAGAAGAATTGAAAATGGTGTCCTTCCTCTCTTATGGGTCTTAGTTAACAGCCATCTGACAATTTGACTGTCAAATGCTTGTCATTAGATCTTCATCTAATCTCATGTGTGTTAATATTTTCCAATTGCTAAACAAGCTTCGATCCTTTTGCATGTCACTACGGAGGGATTTTATTTATTTTTTGTTTTGGGAATTTTGTGTTTCTATTGTAGGCCTTGATTTGATTAGTAAAGGAGAAAAAATTGCTTGTTAGACGGGTGTTTGAGTGTTGCCCTGACAACTTTCCACATTTTTTCAGGGTGAACCTACAGCTGCTTCTCGCATTGCACTCTCCATCATTGAAACTTGTGCTGAGACGCTTGAGCCATTTATTTGTGGATTCTTAACATCTTGTCTTTCAGAGAGAGATGTTGTGGGGAGTGAACTTAAAGAATTTTACCATGAAATAATTTTTAGAATTTTCCAACGTGTCCCTCAAATGCTTCTTGCTGTGATTCCGAACTTGACTCTAGAGCTTTTGGTATGTCGTTTGGTTGGTTTATTTTATTCCATTTTCTGGGTTGCAACATGCGACTATTTGTTATTCTCACATTTTTATTTTCATTGATATAATGAATTTAACAAAAGACAGTAGAGAACCAAATGAGTGACCCTAAAAATCTCCAATTTGTCTGATACGAGATGAGGACTAGTTACAAAAGCTTTTGACCTTAGACACCAAGAGGTAAAGACAACATCATCCCAGATATGCCAAACCTCCCAAAACAATGCCCAAAAACTAATGATCCAAAGCAGTTTCTTCTAGTCCTTGAAATTGTTCCCAAATTACTGAAGCACGAAATATTTGGAGGATCTTGGACGTCTTCAAATTTACTATTATTATTATTTTTATTTTTAATTATCTTTTTGTGTGTGTATTTTTGAAGGCAACACCAATTTAGGTTGAGGTAGTGGTAAGGTTTTCTTTTTGAACTCTATTACTTTGGTTCAGCCTACCCCAGGAAAGAGTCCGTTAGAAAACCTTACACTTAATTTTTATTTC